GGGGGGGGGGGGGGGGGGGGGGGGGGGGGGGGGGGGGGGGGGGGGGGGGGGGGGGGGGGGGGGCGTTCAGCTTCGTTTGCGTCGTATGTAGCTGTTTTTTGCATAATTCTTACAACACAACAAATAATTCCATCTCTCCCACAGATAAAAGAGTCCGTGACACACTAGCAATTACCATATTGTATATCTACGGTTCCCCCGGCAGCATTTAGCGATATCTCCCCTGTGGGCAAGAGGCTCAATAGCTTTTCGACACGCTTAGGCGCGGGAGGGAGACGGGGGCTTGTCGGCCTCTCCAGGTTCAAGACAAGACGAGACCTGTGCACGAAGAGGCCAAGCAGTTTAGCGCAACAACTCCCCCACGTACAGCACGCACACACTAGCGTTGTCCGTTTCTAGCGGCACAGAGGCTAGCGCCGCGTTTCCATTGGCGAGTAGCCCGTTAGTGTCCCCCGGATTATTTGCGCTCCGTTGCCCCCCCTTCATCTCCATGAAATCACTCCAGCGAACGTCAACCACGTACATATCAGAATTTATTTCCGACCAAAACGACGATGGTTACTACGACGCTAGGGCAATGAATGTGCCCGTTCGTGCAGTCAAAGGCGACACACGATTATCCGTTGATGAAGTAGGAATTTTGGAAAGTACTTTAATGAAAATGTAAAACTTGGAAATTTTCAGAGTTGATTTCGGGGAGGGGACACATGGGTGAACATGACCCAACCTAGGAGAGAGAGAGAGAAAGAGAGAAAGAGACAGAACATAAAAAAAACAGTTGGCATACATAGACACACACACCTTGCACGCGGGCGAAGGCGTAGAGCATGTACGGAGCGGTGTTCCCCTGCAGCGAGAGCATCTTGGCGTAGCTGAATCGGTAGTTCGATTCACGGTTCATGGAAAGGTCCGCGTACTTCACCGCCCCGATCCCAACCACCTTAGAAACGCGCTCCAGCTCCGCCTCATCCGGCTGATGGGGCGGGCGGCAGCGCGGAAAATAGGTTAGGGTTCCGAGTGAAGCACATCGCGACGACGTTCTACGACACGCGCGCCCTTCGTGCACCAGAAAGAAATCGCCTACAGGTTAAGTAAGGTACGTGCTGCTGCTGCTGCCGCTGTTGGCTGGCGCTAAACGTTGGGGATCCTTTGACGCTCCCACGACACAAAACGCCCTATTGCCAATAAGAACTCATAGATCGTGTGCAGAAGATAGAAAAATGTGCTCATGGGTTAGGGTCGATGCGTCCCGCCGCCAGATGAAAAAAAAAAAAAAAGTGCCGATGATGCGGTCCACGCAAACTCGCCTGGTAACCCTCCCCCCCCTCCTCCTCCCGCCTCTTCCGGATGCTTTCTCCCGCGATCCGGACGGCCTCCATCAAAAGGTCGCTAAGCTTGACGGTTTCGCCCGCCCTCGTCTTGAACTTCTTGCCGTCCTCGCCTGTGCGAACAGGAAGATAACGGGGGGGGGGGGGGGGGNGTGTACTAATGTTTTGCTTGCCTTAGCTGTTAGACCTGGGGGACTGTGGAAAAGGGCTGCTGCCGAAACAAGGGGGAAAAGATACCGGTTCACAGACCTGCTTCAAAGCGGCCACGAATTTAGGCTGCTTGCTTGGTCACCACATCATACCCTGGGTACGTAGGTCCCGTGAGAGACTGAAAAAGGAAAAAAATGGTAGTAACTGGGGGG